TCAACCAGAAGTTGCTGCTGTTACCCTCTGTCTGCAGCTATAAGATACACATCCTCAAATAAGTAGTTTCTTGAAAACACACACACACATCCTAGACTAGGCTAACTGCCTTCCCCTTTACATGCTAATTCTGCACTTGGAATAAATAAATAAATAAATTGGTCATTTAGCAGACGCTCTTATCCAGAGCGACTTACAGGAGCAATTAGGGTTAAGTGCCTTGCTCAAGGGCACATCGACAGATTTTTCACCTAGTCGGCTCGGGGATTAGAACCAGCGACCTTTCGGTTACTGGCACAACGCTCTTAACCACTAAGCTACCTGCCGCCATATTAATCAAAGTCAGGAGCTGGTGCCCTAGGGCTAAACGGGTGATTGGTTATCATAAATATCTAGTCTCCTACAACAGTTCTCCCAAGACACCTACACACACACACACACACACACACACACACACACACACACACACACACACACACACACACACACACACACACAAACACACACTCTCTCCATAAGGTCACAGATATGTTAAGCCTGCTATAACCCACTCCGGCCCCCCACTGATCAGCTCCCTGCTCTTGTGGTGTGGGCACACACACACACATACACTGCGCCCCTGTGGTGTGGGCCTGTGGCCAGGCATACAGTAAAGCTCACCATGCAGCCCCCATTCTAACCAGGTAGGACTCCCCGTCGCTAAGCACTCAACTGCATACTGTGCTTATCTATTACTGCACTGCAAGACTGTTGCTTTGACTACCCATAGGAATACACTACATAATAATATATAATAATATAATATAATATGCCATTTAGCAGACGCTTTTATCCAAAGCGACTTACAGTCATGCGTGCATAATTATTATTTTTTTTGTGTATGGGTGGTCCCGGGGATCGAACCCACTACCTTGGCGCTACAAGCGCCGTGCTCTACCAGCTGAGCTACAGAGGACCACATGGCCAAAATTATGTGGACATCGTCTATCCTCGGTTGCAACACTCACTACCGAGTTCCAAACTGCCTCTGGAAGCAACGTCAGCACAAAAACTGTTCGTCTGAAGCTTCATAAAATGGGTTTCCATGGCTGAGCAGCCACACACAAGCCTAAGATCACCATGCGCAATTCCAAGCGTCGGCTGGAGTAGTGTAAAGCTCGCCGCCATTGGACTCTGGAGCAGTGGAAACGCGTTCTCTGGAGTGATGAATCACACTTCACCATCTGGCAGTCCGACGGACGAATCTGGGTTGGGCGGATGCCAGGAGAACGCTACCTGCCTGAATGCATAGTGCCAACTGTAAAGTTTGGTGGAGGAGGAATAATGTTCTGGGGCTGTTTTTCATGGTTCGGGCTAGGCCACTTAGTTCCAGTGAAGGGAAATCTTAACGCTACAGCATACAATTACATTCTAGATGATTCTGTGCTTCCAACTTTGTGGCAACAGTTTGGGGAAAGCCCTTTCCTGTTTCAGCATGACAATGTCCCCATGCACAAAGCGAGGTCCATACAGATTTGATGAATTGGAAAGCCGACTGCAAGCCAGGCCTAATCGCCCAACATCAGTGCCCGACCTCACGAATGTTCTTGTGGCTGAATGGAAGCAAGCCCCGCAGTAATGTTCCAACATCTAGTGAAAAGCCTTCCCAGAAGAGTGGAGGCTGTCATTGCAGCAAAGATCGGAACCAAATCCATATTAATGCCCATGATTTTGGAATGACATATTCGATGAGCAGGTGTCCACATACTTTTGGTGTAGTGTAGTTCAATGTCATAACACAATTATCACATGACAGGGACAAGCATAGATTGGCACAGTGAGGTCACTATTAATGCTAGGTAACACAACGTCTAAGTCTGCCTTACAGAACCAGGGCCAACTCCCGGATACAGAGGCATAGGGTGCATCCCAAATGGCACCCTATTCCCCATATAGTCTACTACTTTTGACCATGGTCTATAAGGCTTTAGTCAAAAGTAGTGCACTATATAGTGAATAAGGTGCCATTTGGGCTGTAAACATAGGCAGGCTGCACCTCCACCTCAGTGGGGCTGAGTTACCAGGCACATGAGGACCAGGGGCCCCTAGGGGGTGACACTTAGTCTGGACCCCCAACACCAGCCTGGGACCTGATCTCTAACTTCTTACCAGCCAGGTCGTGACCTCCAACCTATCCCAGAAGGACATGTGATAATGGCAAAGACTGTACAGTATGAAGATAGGCTAAAACTGCTTCTCCAATAGAAATCCCTGATCACACTTGTAGGCGATGTCATGGCGACGTTGGCTAGCAAAGCTCATGTGTAGAAACACTTCATTGGGTCTAACGGTCGTCTCACGCCGAACTGTGCATGAGCAGGCCGTCAAATCAACGGCACTCCTTCGATATAAAGTTGTTTTTGATGAAAATGAAAAAGTGTCAGTTTGCCACTTTCACAAGGTTAGAGTAATAACATGTTCAACTACTTAACACATTGGCTCCAATCTACATTGTGCCTTTAGATTTTCGAGACATTTAACAATTAAGGAAGATTTTTTTACTTCTCTCATTAACTTCTCTAACCTCAAACTCTGGCCTGTTTGGTCTGTTTGGCAAGCATTCCCGGAAGTCTCACGATGTTGCAACTCTGGGAGAGAGAGAGAGGGAGAGAGAGAGAAAGAGAGAGAGAGAGAGAGAGAGAGAGAGAGACGCGCACACACACACTTACAGGGCAGGGTCATGAAAAGAAAACAACATATGGCACTGGGGTTTCTTGCTCTTTTTAACAACTCTCTCTTTACGGACTCTCTCTTCTATTTTGTAATCAGGAGAAATTATATTTCTGTACCGAGCGACCCCTCATACTCCTAGTTAAAACATTTATTGCACATTTTCCCCAGCATTTTTGCTCATTCTAATTTATTCCATTGAATTTATCAGCCCTCTCCCCTCTTACTTATAATTGAATGTTGCGTCAGAATACTTCCAAAAGCTTTAGTCCATTAGCAGCGTTTGTGAAGGAGACTATTAGCTCTCCAAGGTTTTAAACTGAATCTCATAAATTCAACCCAGAAAATGAAATCATCTGTATATTCATATTCACCACTGTGTCTTGCCCCATGTTCAGTATTGCATAAATCTCTGTGTCCTGTTCCCCTTGAACAAGGCGTAGTGGACAAATTCAATATGCAGAAGGTTAGCTCTCTTGCTCTCTCTCTGTGAGGCTACAGTTAGTTTTTCTCATATTCATAAGAACACTGTCCTTGGATTTTAAGCGCTTGTCAAAGGTTACTGCATGGATGTCTTTTTTTTCTATCTATGGAACACCGTTGCATTCCAATCTCCTGTAAAATACATGTATTTTCTCTATACTAGATGGAAAGACCTCAACAACAAGATGACTCCCTGTAGACTGAAGCTGCGTCTGAAATGTCACCCTATTCCCTAGGGCCCAGGTCAAAAGTAGCAAACTAACTAGGGAATAGGGTGCCATTTGGGACGCAACCTGAATGTGCAGAATGGCAGCTGCGGACTATTGTTGTGATGCAACCCCGGTAGGACAGTATGTCTTTGTGCTCTGAAACAAGATGATTCACACGTGTTCTAAATGTTTACACATTGTTCTAAACGTTAACCCAGTCCATGTACCACAATGAGAGACACTGTCTAGTGTCTAACCAATAATAACCCATACAGAATGTGTAAAACCCAGTCTACTCATACCTTCCACATCCTCCCCTTCCTTTACCCATTTGTATTATGTTATATTTGCAAGTTGTAATTGTAGAAACTGCATTGGACTAGCCTGGTCCCAGATATGGCTGTGCTCTTACCATCTCCATTGCTGTCATTGTCAAGCCAAACATGTTTAGCATGACAATTCCATAAGGAGCTGACAAGGGCATATAAGCAGACTGGCACCCAGGCTACCTTGGACTAGCCAGGCTAAGGGAATGACAAAGACACTGTACTATATCTCAGTGTAAGAGGATAATAAGATTCGCGTATTATACCCATGACCAGTATGTCTAGGCCAGCGGCACTTAAATTAGTTTAATATATTTTATACTATATTTGCCTGATTTAATTGTAGCATCATTGATGGTAAACTACCTTGTTTATGAGCTATCCCTGGGTTATGTTTTTATATGTTTTTGTTTTGTTCAATAAAGGTGCTAAAGCTACTCTGCTTCAACCTTTTCTGTAATAATTTTTTTTTAAAGCAGTTTGGACAAATAATCTGTTTGCATCCAGAGAGCTGGTACCTGTAAACATTTAAAATTACATCAGGCTAGTCTCACAGTGACACTGAGAAAGCCTTAGTTCCTGGGACTTCCACAGCTGCTTTGTCATCATGGTTTACTATTACTGTCCCACTATCTATTGTCATCTGGGGATGTCCCACTGTAATAACATATAATAAATAACTAATAAACCTGAAAGTTAAAGATGCTTCCTCAGAGTAACATTATAGTTATAACAGACCAGTTTAATGATTGTCTCTGAGTCCATCCATTACTCACAACGTAACATAACCTGCTCAAACAATTAGCTTTTTGATGAATTAATGCTTTTTTTTTTTCATCCACTGGTTTTTCACTTTTACAAACATTATGGATACTGAAAGAAAGAAAAAATCTCAGGTTTGGAACATTCAAAATAACTCCCAAAACATCCACTTTGAAGTGTTTTCATAACAAGATACATTAATCATACAGTGTTTGTTTGTTTCCATAGTTGCAGTTTCAATATTCAAGTCATTGTTCATAAGCCTTCAGGCTTTGTCAAAAACATCCAGTTTTCCAGATACAAAAGTAATGGTCCTGTCAAATACAACTGTCTGCAATTGAACTGAAAAATAAAACTAAAATACATTCCAATGTGGCCAAGAAGTGGAATTCCTCAAAAACACTAATTCAAAGTAACGCTTTTTTATTCCACGATTAACGGAATGGCACTAGATGCAAAATGACATTAAATTCACTGTCTTTGGTGGAAAGGAAAAATACATATTTTTCTGTCACAGTTTGGAGACCGTCAGTAAAGACTTACTAAGGTCCTTGGCCTCCCCGGCCGTCCTGACTCTGTCATAGCCCAGGACAGCCATGGAGTGATGACAGTAGTCCTCCACCTGTTTGATCTGCTGGATGCTGAGCACTGTTCTCCATGCGCTGGCAGCCTGAGTGGCGTTCCTGGAGGACACTATGAACGGCTTGGAGGACGAGCTAGACCCGCCTGTCATGTTCAGAGCAAACAATTCAATGTCATGGTTGGTGGTGAGGTTGGCGAAGCGGTAGATGTTCCTCAGGATCTTCACAGGGTTCTCCACCAGGTCCTCATAGCGTACAGCCATGTACTTCCCTTTGAGCCAACTGGGAGGGTTTAAGGCAGTCCTCAGGGTCCGGGAGGTGCGGTCACAGATCACCTCCATGGCTCCAATGGAGTGGTAGTCCGAGCCGTCCTTCTTGTTGGCTTTGTGATTGGGGTCTACGAAGGGGATCCTGCGGAGCTTGGGGTCCCTGCTCCGGACCACCTGCAGGTTCTCCCGGATCAGCCCATGTCGGGACTTGATCCTGGAGTTGGCCACGGCCCGGGGGTCCCTGACCAGGTGGACTACCTTCACGTCCAGGGACGGGTCCTCCATGAGGGGGGCTAGTACATTAACATCCAGGATACGCACCCCTTTAATAACGATAGTGCTGTATTTGAGGCACTCCTCCTCTAGTAGTCTAAGGCTTTGAGGGGGGCACTTTTTACACACCTTGTCATCCACCATACCCACCACCTCTTTCCTGTAGGCGGAGCAGAGGGGGTAGGAGCACACCACCTTATTCAGGGTGGCCCCAAAGAGTCCTAGGGAAGTAAAGTTCTTTCCCCCTGGGCTGTTGTACAGCTGGAACACAGAGAGATCACAGCGGTATAAGGAGCTGAGCATGTCCCTGGCTGCCCCCTGTAAAGACACCGCGTCTCCCGGGTACAGCTTCTGCCAGATGTGCCACATGGGTTCATACAGGAAGAACACTTCAGGATTTTGGTTAAACAGCTCCCCGAAAAAGGAGGACCCAGACCTCCATGTGGTCAGAACATAGACCAACTGTCTCTTCTTGGCCAGAGAGGGTCTGTAGAGGAACCGGATATCTGATCTGCCATGATAGGTAGTGCTCCTCATCTGGTGATTGCACTGCTGGGGCTCTTTAGTCCATTTATAGTTGGCCAAGTTCAGCATGGTCAGCACCAGCAGTAAGATATAGGCTATAAACAACACAATCCGCTTTCTGCGTAGCACCTTCATCACAATGCCGGGCTGGGCTATTATCTTAGTATGGTTCCTGTACGTTTTGAGCTTTCTCCCGTAGCCAGCATCCTTCTCCCAAGGCGCTGTCAACTTCAGTTGTTGATGGTATTGTTTCCCTCTCATCTGTAACCTAGGAGTGAGTGGCTCTCACCACTGGGCGAAGTGTTCTTACATTTACAATAGGCAAACCCGTACGGCGTGTTGAATATCTCCGGTGGAAATTGATACCGAACGAATCCAATGCTAAATGATTAGGTAATACCCCAGCCAGCAGATTCGATATCACAATCTGATTCGCAAACCAAAATACGATAACGCTGCCCTGCTTTTACTGCAGTGCGCAAGGCTCTTCAAATGAAAATGTTTCTATTACGGGTATTACAGTGCGTTTTGCGTTTGGCCTGCCATCAAAAACAAAACGAGGAACCATTCAAGCAAACAATTTACGCCCTCCTTGACAACATTCAGTGTAGGCATCTCAGCGCAGCTAAAATCTGATGCGCCCCAGTATAGATGGAGCCTATAGGAACATTGAACCACAGCATACAAGTAATACGTTAGTAATTACGCGCTCCAACCTCTTCTTGGATCCTTTTCAACATACGCTGAGGAACAAATACCTCTAAACGTCGCAGGTATATCCATAGGTGAAGTCTATTCGTCCAAAGAATCAAAGATCTTTCCCTTATTCCTGATGTGCGGTATTTTATCTCTTCCAATTGAAACTGGACTGATTTAATCAGACTACAGGAAGAAAGGCCCTCCCTTCTCTAGACGCCATTGGAGCGTGATAGGATACGTGCGTAAGCGAGTTGCGCCCTTGGTTCTTCCGCACGTCTGTCAACAATGAACGCACTGTTCTCGAGAAGCCCGTATTTGAAAAAAGGCAACGGTAAACATTGTAAGCGCCCCCCCTTGGGCTAATTGAGATATCGCGTGTGACTAACACATTTCAGTTTCACAAATGTAAGTTAATTATCTCTATCTGAGATATCGCGTATGACTAACGTACAAAGGAACGGACAGATGGAGACAGATCCACAGTCCCCTCCCGGATTTCATCGTGGGGGACAACAAAATCTCACAGCAATGGTAGACGTCACCACGGTGGGAAATGATGCTGTTGTTAGGATAGAATAGAAATGGAAGGGATGCTGGTCTCCCTTCTGCCTGTGTCATTGTGTCGACACAGCTCCAGTCCTTTAATTTATAGACTTGCTTAGCGCACTGTTATGCAACTAGGCTATTAGTACAAATATGTTACATACTTTGTTTCAATTTTACAATGTATCATATCAAGTAAGAATGTTTGGTAGTATTTTCAAATCGTATGTTTTGTTGCATTTTCAGAGAGAACAGACAATAGCCTACATTCAAGGTCTGTTGGGAATATTATTGATCATGTTTCACCATATCTGTCTCTCCCTCTCATATTGTGCAGGCCTAGGCAGCAAGTAATCGATAGCTCCCATTAGAGACATGTGTATTGCCCAGTCTCAAGAGGTACTGTAGACCTGGCGCCCGGTTGAAAACGGGACCAATGAACGATAGGCAATGAGAGTTGTTCCCGGTGAGAGGTGGTCAACCCGGTAACTGAACTGCCAATCCTATCATGTCCTGTCCTGTCCTCTCTATCTCACTAGGCACATTGGAATCAGAGGTAATCTGCTTTTCGACAGCTGTTAGCGTGGAATTGACAGGCCTGGGAAGCGATAACCCATATGTTTTAGGGGCACGGACCAAATGCCCTACCGATTGAAAATTATCCGCTCACGTGTCAGTTCATGTGTTATTACACTAATGGAGGCCAAAAATAGGAGGGTTTGGGCATGTCTATTGGGTGTCCTACAGTTGTCTCAATAGTTTTTAGTTCACTATTAGGGTACTCTTTTCCTGAGAGGATTTCTTGGTAAATTTGTGTTTTCTTTACTCTTAGTCTTTTGGATACAGTCACTGCTTTGTGGCCAGTTGCTTTGCAAAGATTGCCATCTGCTGGGGCAAAGGGAATATTTCAATTCCATTTGGGTCTGGTAAACCGTTGGAAATTATGTAGGCTACTGCATCTGTTGTCAATTATTTATGTCTTATAGAAAAGTAAGGTAAAGAAACTTAATTGATGAATTGTTAAATGTATTATTTGTAATCCAGATTTACGCCTAAAGTTATTTCAGGAGATATGTTCACCCAGATTAGAAAAATAAAACAGTTTACATTAAAGGGGAAATCTGCAGTTGCTGCATCCATTTGAGGATTTATAAATTAATTATATGTACCCATTGATTCTTGAAGAACATAAATTATAATTGCCTCATGAGCTTAGTTCAGCTGTCGTACCCCATCAGCACCCAGAATATAAACGTGTTCTACTCCAATGTTTGTAAACATGGTTAAAACTATCATTTTTATATCATGGATGGTCAGTCATTGCATCCATAGCTCTGTCTGAATTTGAGAGTGGTTACATTTCTCCAGCCCCATAATTCAGCTTTTTACCGAAACAGGGGCGGGGAAAACGCATTGTAATTATTTCAACTGCTGATTGCCCCTTGTTTCCAGTATGAAAAAAATGTTATGCACTGTAAGTCGCTCTGGATAAGAGCGTCTACTAAATGACTAAAATGTGAAACATTTAAATGTTTCAATTTGACCAACCTGTATCCCAATCTTCCTTGGTTTAATGGTACAATGGCATGTTCATTACCTAAAAGCCCTCTGGTATTAAATGGTGCAGTATAGGCCTATGTGACATGTATCTGCAGTTACACTATGTCCTCAAAGTCATGCTGCTCCTAGAAGCAATGTTATTATATTGATCTAATATGCTTTGTATCTTCGTCATCCCAAATGTCTTTCTGTGAAGGAAGATGCAGGAAACATCACATGCAGGCACACACACAATGTGATCCTATAATTCCTGTCAGTATGAAAAAATGAGAGCAAGGTAAATAGCCAATTCGTTGAGATTGTATCTTATAAATGTGCAAATAGAAACTTTGAGAAAATATTATTCAAAATCAAACTGTTTATTTGAGCATTATTATTGCAGACTATGATTGTAGTACAGTGTTTTGGAAATACTTCAGGGGGAACTATTTCTTTACCTCTCTAAATATGATTATTAAATAGCCTATCCTAAACTTCCTAATCTCTTCGTCATCTGATTGTACATTCTGTAGGCTATCTCAACTAAAATGTAATAATGGCAAAAATAGAAGCCAGGCTTGTTATGTAATAGAGTACCACAGTATGAGTCATATTACCCATAAAACCTAGCGGTCAAACAGGGAAATGGTTCCAATCATTTTTCCACCATCCATTTTTCCCATAGGGGATTTTTGAAACACTTAAAATAAGGGCTGTGTTTTGTGTAGGCTTACCCTGTCCTGACGTTTTGATAACCGTGTAAATCTCTCTAGGACAAGGTGACTTTTGTCAATATTTTGGCCTGTATTTACCCCCAAAAAAAGAAACGCCAATTAGCTGCTAATGTGGCTATCATAAAGAACGGCAAATGCCATGATGATCTAGATGAAACTGCTTAATCGAGGCAAAGGTAAGCGTCTCTGGATTAACTATATAATGTTAGCTAAATGTAGTAATGAATCAATTGGCAACATTTCTTTAAATTGACAATTCTGTGAAGTGCCTTGTCCAAATTTTAAATTGACACAATACCTATTAGCAAAGGTGTCAGCTAGAGATTATGTGCAGAAGCTTGCAGGGATTTAAAGTTTTGCATGATGTCTACTTTGATGCTAATTAGCATTTTCGAATCTGAGAGTAAATAGAGCCAAATGTATTGATAAAAGTCACCTTGTTTGAGAGAGATTTACATGGTTATCAAAACGTCATGCCAGGGTAAGCCTAGACAAAACACAGCCCTTATTTTAAAGGTTTCTCAAATCCCCTATGGGAAAAATGAATGGTGGAAAAACGATTGGAACCATTTCTCCTTATGACACCTCCAAGCTTGACCAAATATAGTCTCTATATAGTGGACCGCTGAGGATGCTGCCTGCACTGTGCCAGCGAGATGAGATTGAGCATGCGCAGTAGCAACACCATCAGGACCAGAGGACTGTCAGGAGCCTGCGAAGTGATGCGGGAAAATGGTGCATGTAAACACGCTGATGTAGATGGTGATTTATGCACTGACGGCGTGCGGTATGTTTACACCTGAAGAAGAATAGCCTATGTCAAAGGGATATTACGAGGATACAACTGGGAAGGACGTTACGCACGCCAAACACCGACGCTGCGTATAAACGGATGAAACGTTACCAACACGGATGCGACAACAATAATAGCCTACATTTTCTTTTTTCTTTTTTTCTTTCGGGAAGACGTTTACAACTGCCGTTCTTTGGGGGGAAATACATTAACAGTATTTTTGCAGTATATGCCATCCCATGTGACGGGATTTCATGGTTAAATAGTCGCTGGCGCCTAGTAGTGGGATGCACATTAGTGTTCTGCCCTACTCCTTCTCCGTCGCAATGGCCGCTCTGTATCAGGGCACGGACGTGTCCTCTCCGGATAAATTTCTGGCCCTGAAAGACGTGAGGGAGGTGAAGGAGGAGACTACTCTGGATGAAAAGCTCTTCCTACTGGCCTGTGAGAAAGGTGAGTTATTTTAGGCTTCTGGGTGGATTCGTTTATCAAAACAACAACAACAACAACAATATTTTGTATATGAGAATATGATGTTATTAACATGGCATTAGCAAAACTTGTGACTTTATGACAGCGTAACGTAAGATGCTGTTTAAGAAAAGGTGTGAACATGTAGTCTTTTATTCTTTTAAACACTTAATTTCATATCACACCATTATTACCAACAGTCATCCTTTCTTACCTTATTATGGATGAGTGAGTGTACTTTGGATGAATGCCTACTGCAGCTGCCTACATGTAGCTACACTGGAAGTTTGCCCACGGGGCTGAGTTTTATTTAACCTAGTGGAGCTTAATGCTCTTGTGTAGAGCTATGTGGAGCTATGCATTTGTGTAAGCTTTGTCATGCTTTTGCTAGCCTGTGACAAAGACTATACATTTACTGCATTCTGTATTCTGTCATCGAGCCCAAGTTTAACACTTGTATTCAAGGAATAGCTACTGGGTGA